TTCTCCATCTAGTCTAACACAAAGGAATGCAGGAGAGAAAGAGAGCACCTAAAAAAGAAGAATTACCAACTAATCAAGAGAATGACATTCCACAACTAAGTGATTTTGCAGTGTGATTTTACAGTGTGATTTTACATAATAGTCACTCGGATCATAGTTTTTCAAAGGAAGCAATGAATCCGTTACCAGAGTGGATTCGTCGGTTTCTTTGATGCACCATGATCCGAGTGATCTTGGATCACTGATCCTGATCCAGAACACCCCAAAGGAACCCACCCTTTGGGTCTGCACTTTGCCATATTATCTTACAAACACGATTTGTTGTTTTCTAATGTGTGTTGACTCAATTTGTGCTTACCGAGACCACTAAATATTGTAGTGTACTAAAGCGGCCGCTAAGGCACGTAGACTGGAAACGAGTCTGCAAAAAACTATTCTGCACTGCCTCCAAATCCTGACCTAAACTACAACTAGACAGTTTCTTTTGCAATGTTTATGATATTTCAGTATTTTCGACACATATAATTATGGTACACGTACAATTTCTATTTAGTTTTGCTGAAAGGCAATTTTAGACAATCCTGGACAAAAGTGTTAATAATAATAATAATAATAATAATAATAATAATAATAATAATCATAATCATAATAAATTACAATAGTAAAAGTTGACACATTTGAGCAAAACAAATGCGTTCTATCGGCGTGCTTCCGTAATTGAAAAAAAAAACAATGTCGAAATACGCTCCGTGGACACTGTCACGTGGTTGCAACATTGAAAAGGGGAGAGGGGGTTGAAATGTGAAAATTGCAGATTGAAAAACTCACGTGTTTAACAAAACAGGTTTTTTTCAGGGAGTGTCTCGACTACTTTTGTCCATGATTGTAGGTAATTCCCTGCAGCAATGCATCGACACAAGCAGAATCAGTGGTTCTCACGAGATAACAAATGAGCCAAGTACAAGTTCAAACATGCTGGGACAAACACCTAAAATGTCGAAAAAATCAAGAATCGCCGCAAACACATCTTCGAAGATGGGGCAAACAACATGCAATTGGATTAAGAGGATACTCAACAAAGCAACTTGAATCACAGGCGTCCCAAACTCATGGGTCGAGGAATCGATCAGATACATGTATTAATGATTTATATACGCGTATTGAGTGAGACGTGACTGCCTTAAGTGCGCGGTGTTGTGTCACACATTGGGCCGTTGAGAATTTGAGCGCTCTACAAGGCATTGTGTGGAATTTAAAATAATGAAGGATAAAATTGTGCAATGAAATAAAATGTTACTTTTTTTGAATAAAATTAAGAAAATGTATTCAAATTGCCTGGTTTCTGTTGTCCATTTGGCCTATTTCATCGTTTTTTTGGGGGAAAGCTGCGACAAACACCTGAAAACCCCCCAAAAACGACGAAATAGGCCTTCGTTATTTTAAATTCCATACAATGCCTTGTAGAGCGCTCAAATTCTCAATGGCCCAATGTGTGACACAACACCGCGCACTTAAGGCAGTCATATCTCACTCGATACGCGTACATAAATCATTAATATTTGATTGATTCCTCGAATCGTGAGTTTGGGACGCCTGTGCTTGAATAGCAAATATCTAAGCATACAGTCTGTAACTCTTGTGTTAAGATGTCCTTGGCTGATTCTTATATTTGTTTTTATTGTGTTCAATAAGCTTACTTGTAAGGTATGATTTGATATTGCAGTACGAAGCCTGAGTAAACGCTATTGGAGTGTCTACGTTGTAGTTACATGTACTGTGCTTACAAGTTATACTGTATTGTATGTTAAAAACAATCCTGATCACAAGTTATTGGAAACGAGTGTGAAATTTGCTCATTTGGCAGGCTTTCAATCGATATACATGTGATTCGTAGACCAACCCATTCTGAAGATGATTGACATCTTTGTATCTGGGATAAACAGAGAAGGTGTGATTCTTTCCAAAATTTTCTTCTCAAAACAAGAATAGCAAGTACACGATAACACAAGCTGTCGTACACTCATCCACAGTTTCCACAGTCTACCACAGGAGACCCGAACACTCTATCAGCAATAATATAATCATTTAAAATAAATCTACTGTCATTTACCTGTGTGTTCCTGTCCTGGAGGGGGGAGAGGGTACTCCCTTATATGGGCTATATAGGTATGTGCAGCCCCAAAGGGTGGAGTTTTCCAGCCGTTTTGGTCATCAAAATAGGCTATCGATTTTGGCCATTTTGGTCTTAAATGGGGTATGGTTTTAGCACTCTAGTCTTGAATTGGGTATGTTTCTTAGAAAGAGCTACTTTTTCATCATTGTCAATAAGACCGTCAGCAAAAGCCCTTCATAACTTACATGTATGTTTAGGACAACTGTGCCAGCGGCAATGGTCATGAACAGGGTATTGGATTTTTGGCCAGGTCATAATTGAGGTAGCAAAGATTGTAGATTTTGGTCATAAATAGGGTAAGGGTTTTGGGAAATGGGCCACACACCCCCGTCCAACTTTTCTGGGAGTACCCCCGCGGGATTCTAACGCATGTTTCAAGTCAGTATACAAGCCAAGTGGCCCATCAGGCCGGAGCTTATCCCGGTTTCTGCAGCATGAAGGGACCAGGAGTATTTCTACTCCCCCCTGGATGGGATGCTAGCCCATCGCAGGGTTACCCCCAGCATTAAGCTCGCCGGTACCCGGTGGAGAGAGAGACACTGTGAGAGTAAAGTGTCTCGCCCAAGAACACAACACAGGGCTTGAACCCAGACCGCTCGATCCGGAGACGAGCGCACTAACCATGAGGCCACCGCGCCTCCCCAATACATGTACACAGACGCTCATTTTGTGAGCTTTGGCTTCCGAGCCTGTCGTGCACCTCATAGGAATTACGAGCTCATAACCTAAATGTTTTAGTGGAATTCTTACCAAATTGCCTTCAAATAACGATTTCCAATCATTTCTCAACGTCGTATTAATCTTCACGCCTTAACAAAATCGCACGAACTAAATACACTGCACACTAATGGACGATTGTGAAAGGGTAACTCAGCCAATCAGATTGTAAAGTTTGCATTGGTACACGAGTAGAATTCCACTAATTGCTGTTACATGTGTTAATATAAATCTGCTACTTGATTCTATTACCAATGCCGTTCTATACTGGTTACGCTACTCTCTGTCTATTCTGTTTTAGTAGAATTCTACTGGTAAACTAATGCAAATGCTGCAATCTGATTGGCTGAGCTACTCGTGCACTATCAG